CTGTAAATATACTGTATAAATATACAGTATATAAATATATATAAATATACGGTATATAAATACTGTCTGTGGTACGGTTTCATCAACTCCTTCCTGGGTGAGTAAATATATATATATATTTCTATACATACGTATATACTGTAAATATACTGTATAAATATATATAAATATACTGTATATAAATATACTGTATAAATATATATAAATATACGGTATATAAATACTGTCTATGGTACTCCTGCCTAGGTGAGTAAATATATTTATATACATATATACTGTATAAATATATATATGAATATACTGTATATAAATATATATATATAAATATACTGTATATAAATACTGTCTGTGGTACAGTTTCGTGAACTCCTGCCTGGGTGAGTAAATATATATTATTATTATTATAATTATTATTATAATAATGAATTGACCTGATCTTTAACTAATATTAATAATAATTAGTGTAAATAACATTATATTTAACTATTAATAATAATAGTGTTAATAACATTATCTTTAATAATGGATTCAAACTGGTGATCAGAGCTCTAAGCTACAGAATATTTTATATTCATTTATTGATCAGTTGATCAGAAAAAAGCTGAATATTGGAGCCCATAATAAATCAATTACTGATATTAACCCTTTAGAAGATGTCACCACATTATTGAAATGATCTATAAATACAGGTGAACACTTCTATAATACAAATAATCAGGCTTACATTTATTATTATTATTATTATTAACTGTAATATTCAGTTTATTAGCTCTCATTAAATCACTCACAAACTGTGGAAAAACTAAATATTGGCTATAAGAACAAAATTCCCTCAAATAAAGAAAAACATGATGAAACTTTTATGTTGAAGGCTTTATTGATCCTTATATTTTATGTATGTATTTTTATATATAGGGTTAGGGTTTGTCGCCCAGTTAGCTCAGTGGGTAGAGCTGGCGACCCATGTACCGAGGAGGCTGAGTCCTTGCTGCAGCAGCCTGGGTTCGAATCCAACCTGCAGCTCTTTTTGGAATTTCCCCATTGTGGGACACATAAAGGAATATCCTATCTTATCTTATATATTATACTGTAAACATAGATAATGATAAAGACATTTTAAAATGAATTAAATTAGATTGCTGTTTTCCCTCTGATGTCCTCCGTTCACTGAGGTCACAGTGAGACCTCCCCCTCCTCCCTCGCCTCCCTTTGAGCTCCTGGGTCACATGATTCATGTGTTTGATAAACAGGCTGAATGGAAGAGGAGATAAGCTCCAACGGCTCCGACTAATAACTACTGTTTCTGTAAACATGACCCCCAGAGGCCCCAGAGGCCCCACAGACCCCCACAGACCCCCAGTTCACCATGAGATCCCACCAGCCTCCAACCAAACTCTGTTCTCTTCTTCTCCAACTTGTTGCTGGAATATATTTCCTTTGGTTTGAATGTAAAGTTCTGGTCTGACTAACGAGCTAACATCAGTTAGCTGGTTGTGGTGTTTGTGGATTACTGGAGTCGGGACGCTAGGCTAAACACGATTAGCAGCTTGATGTTTATGCTGAATGTTTGTAAACAGACAGATATAAACAAGCTATAAACAAAACAAATTATGGATTATGTTAGTTGTTTTGTGGCTATACTGTCAATTCCCCCAATTCTAACAATGCTAACATGCTCTGGTATAACCCTGCTGAAAAAACCAGCAGATTTAGCACAATAATGCTAACTGTTTATAGCGACCATAATTAGCCTCCATTCGTTGTGCTAATTAAGTTAGGCTAAAGGTGAGTCTTCACTGACGAGATGTTGAACTTTAATTCTCTGAATCTTTGAGTCCTGATTCCTCAGAGCTGCTGAGGCGGATCAGACCCACATGGGGGGCGGTTCAGGACTTAAGTAGCTCAGTGATGGTGGACTTGGAGAGATCTGGGTCAGAAGTGAAACTGACAAAACAGGATTTAAAGTTCCCAGAAGAACAGAAGATTTCGGTGCCGTACTCGTGTATTTATACTTTAAAGAACCATCGGGGTTCTACGATCGGACCTGGTACTGCAGAACTTCCTGTTTATGGTCTGAACTTCCTGTTTGTTTTACTTCCTGTCCTGTGTCTCCTTCAGGGATCGTGTCTCTGATCTCTCTGGCGGTCCTGTCCTACGACCGGTACAGCACCCTGATGGTGTGCAACAAGCGGGCTCCGGACTACAGGAAGCCCCTGCTGGCGGTGGGCGGGTCTTGGCTGTACTCTGTGGCGTGGACCGTGCCCCCCCTGCTGGGCTGGAGCAGCTATGGTCTGGAGGGGGCCGGGACCGGCTGCTCCGTTGCTTGGACCCAGAAGTCTTCGAGCTCTCAGTCATACATCATCTGCCTGTTCGTGTTCTGTCTCGGCCTCCCCGTCCTCGTCATGGTCTACTGCTACAGCCGCCTGCTGCACGTCGTCAAACAGGTGGGACAGAGAGCAATGCATGATGGGTAGATGCTAACGTAGCCTACAGCATATTGATTGTATTGATTGTTATTGATAATGATCAAACGTTAATAGGTGCTTTATAACGGCTCTGAAGGTTTAACCCTGTCTGACAGGTGGGGCGTATCCGGCGGATGGCGGCCCGTCGCAGAGAGTTTCACATCCTGTTCATGGTCGTCACCGCGGTGGTGTGCTACCTGCTCTGCTGGATGCCGTACGGCGTCGTTGCCATGATGGCCACCTTCGGCCAGCCGGGAGTCATCAGCCCTGTCGCCAGCGTCGTCCCGTCACTCCTCGCCAAGAGCAGCACCGTCATTAACCCCGTCATCTACATCCTTATGAACAAACAGGTGAGGGTTTCATCACTTCGCATCACGTGACTGGAAAACAAACAGCAACTCTGCTTTAGTGGACAAATAAACACATTATTGTTGTTATTGTTGTTATTGTGGTTGTTATTCCTGAGACGTTTATGGCGTCTCGGTCTGACAGCGTTCCCGGGCTGGACCCTCGTTGTTGTGACACATTTTGGCAGTGTTTCAAACCTTTTGTTAATCGCAGACTGATTCGGGCGCCTCAGGGCCTCCATAGCTGCTTCCTGTCACTTCCAGTTAAACTCAATACAGCAGCGGCGAGAGGACAGTGAACGCACCGTCTCATTATTAAACACTCTACGGAAGTTTGATACTGCCATGATAAAAATGTATGAGACTAAATCTGCCACTATAATTAATGAAATACTTAGTAATAAACAGAACTCTCATTAATATAAACACAAATAAATAATAATTATATATGAAAACTATATTTAATTCATTTATAATATATATTGGTAAACTGTCTAAATTTCATTCTACAACCTTGTGACAATAAAATATCTAATAATTAAACTCTGATCATAATTGATTCATTAATTAGTTTATTGGATCAATAAAACAAAACATACAAAATGTAATTATTATTCTATTAATACATTATATAAAGAAAACAAACAGTATTAAGTAAACAATGGGTGATTTGATTAGATATTTGATCCTTTTTCAGTAAAGTGACATATTTTACATTAATAATTATATTGACTGGTGTCAGAGACAAATCAATATCATCAATATCATCAATAGTTATTATCAGTTATTAATGGAGGAATGAGTCAGAAATATACAATCAGCTGGAAAGTCTAATGTCCCAGCAGCTCCTGAAGGCAGCACCAGAGACGTTCACTGACCAAAAAAAAACTTTAAAAGACCTGATGGGGCCCAGTTCCAGTTCTGGGACCCGGTTCTGGGACCTGGGTCGCTCTCAGACCTGGGTCAGGGCCCACAGTGGACCATGCTGAACCCCCTCAGCGTGACCCGGCCCTTGGTCCGGAGCTGGTCTGGGGGCCCCCGGTTGATCCTCTGGACCAGCAGCTTCTCATAGAGGAGGGGGTGGTAGGCGCCCAGCGTGCAGGCGTCGTCACGGTAACGCTCGTAGTAATGACAGCGCTCGCTGCGGCGCACTGACGGCACAAACTCGTACACGCTGACCTCATCACACAGTGACATCATCAGCACGATACCTGAGAGACACAGTGGCGAGTGACGTCATGGCTGCATACAGTCCACCACAGCGGCGAGCTGACCGCTCATGTGATGGTCACAACCAGCGGCGAAGTGCGTAATGTGATGTCACACAGCGGCAAGTTAATCAAATAAACAAACAAACAAACAACAAAAACAATAAACAAACATAATGGAGGATGAAAGCTTCCGGTTCATTTAAATTATTTCCTGTTTCAATAAATATGAAATAATATTAAAGATTATTGATTATCAGTGTTATAGTATTGATATTAAGTATTGATTATGTGTTCCTCAGTTCTACCGCTGCTTCCTGATCCTGTTCCGCTGTAAACACCAGCTGACTGAGACCAGACCCTCCTCCATACCCTCAAAGACCACCATGGTCCAGCTCAACCGTAGACCTGGACCCGCTGGCTCCATGACGCTCTCCGGACCCGTAGCGCCCGACATGGATCGAACCAGCGCCGCCGTGTCCAACAGGACCGCAGAGCCTCTGGAGACGTCCTCCTGAGACCTCATCCTATTGATTACCTCCTGCTGGGACTCACGGCCCCGCCCCCAACAGTGTCATGTGCTACCTTGGCTCCGCCTCCTGAAAGCGGGTCAGTGTGTGTGATGTCATCCCAGGTGTGACCCAGTGTGTCTGTGATGGTTTGAGCTGACTGCAGGTACGGAGGTCAAAGTGTGTGAAAACATTTACACACAAAGAAAAACAATCTGTGTTTATTTGTGTGTAAATGTTGTTGTTTGTATTTTACATTTACCAACATAATGATAATAATGCGTTATTTATGTAAGAGAATTATAAACATAAACATTTATTACATTTAATCTGTGAAGTCAAAGCTTACATTAGCTAACATTAGCTTACATTAGCTAACATTAGCGTGTGTGTTGTGGACGGCGGCTACATTAGCGGCTAGCAGAGTCGAGGAAGAGTCTGTGATCTTAAAAGGGTTCAATGATGAAGATTAGTTGATCAGAACCAGACAATCTGTGGAACCACTTCATTATAATTCTGACTGTCACATTAAGACTAAACCGATCAGTTCCAATCAATCATTATTTCTGACCTGCAGACTTTAATGTAGTCCTACATTGTACAGGACTATTAATGATCAATAATGTATTGAATGATGATGTTCAACTCTTTAAAATATTAATTCATGTTTGATTGATCGCACATTGTGTTACAGTCTGATCAATAATCGATCTGATTAGTTTTCTATGGTCTCTGTGGGTGGAAACAAATAAAGTTCAGTGAACTCGTCAATGCTTCTGTTTGATTCTTTTCAATAAACACGTTTTTAATTTCATACGTAATAAAGCTTCTAATTGATTAATGTTGGACAGGAAGTATTATCAATAACTGTATTAGTAATAATAAGAGTATCAATAACTGTATTAGTAATAATAAGAGTATCAGTAAGAGTATCGATAACTGTATTAGTAATAATAAGAGTATCAATAAGAGTATCAATAACTGTATTAGTAATAATAAGAGTATCAATAAGAGTATCGATAACTGTATTAATAATAATAACTATCAATAACTGTATAGGAAAGAATAACAGCATCAATAAGAGTATCAATAGTACCCTAACCCGTAGTAGTAACAGTATTAGTAAC